TAGGGGAAGTAAGGAACTATAGAAAACAAAGAACTCTGCCGGTCTATTGAGTTGGGGGTCAAAGAGCTGTAAGACTGAGGAACAAACTAACTTCCTCCTAAGACCCTTCTCATTCAACTGAGAGCATTCTAAACAAAGAAGGTTTCACAGTAATTTACATATTCTTTCTTAGGCCTGATCACCCTGGGGAATCCGCACTTCTCAGTACCGAGCTGCACCACCCTGTCATTGTTTTAGGCTTAGGTGGAGCAAGGGAACTAAGGCAACCGAGAGATAAGGAGATTTTCTCCCAGACGCTGAGAACTCAGGCTATGTCAAAGCCGAGGAGTGAGGGTCCATCACCCCCTTTTGCTGCAGCCCCCCAAGTCCTTCTTTTGGGGGGCCTCCCAAAGTGATCGTGCCTGGCTTAGGTCGTTCCCCTCATGGGGAATCTTACCCGTCTTTGGCTAACTGACCAAGCTTTTTGGGGTTCAGTTATGAATAAAGCAGCAGAAGCAGCATTCCTGCCAGGGAGATAAGCTTTTGTCTCCTTGCTGGCTCACGGTTCCAAGGGCGTTCCCTTAGCTTTAGCTAGGCGGGGGTTTCAGCCTCTGATACCAGTCAGGGTGGTTCCCAACATAATTATACTATGAATTTAACAAATAAATTTCAATTAAAAATTGAAATTTCAAATACCATGAAAGTCAAAACTTAAAGGCATAAATTATGAAATCATTATCAAATAAGTGATTATTAACATTGTGAGAGTTGGGTAGGATGGAGTAACTTGCAACAGACCACTGCTCCTATAGGGCATGATTAGAGAAGATGGATCAAATGATAAACATCATATTGTTTAAGGCAGAAAGCAGAGGACTAGAGGAATTGAAATTCCAGAGAGAGAAGAAGGTTTTAGAGGTGAATCAGGATCTAAAGCTTTCCCTGAAATCCTTGATGGTTCTTGAGAAGGGGTAGATGCTGATACTCTGGACCAGGTCCAGTTAGCAGACATTTGGTCCTATTAGATGTCCACAAGGACAGCTTGTCTATACCATAAGGTGTAGATATTTGGTTCTGTCCAAATGTTCCCAGAGACATTTGGTCCAGAGTTAATACAATCCTGCTCTTCTGCAAGATTCAAACCCAGACCCATCTCCATCACACTGGCTACCAAGGCAACAAGGGTGATTCTTGGCAATGCAGCCTCAAACCAATTATTTAACCTATATAACATGGTAGTATTTTTATGTATTAATCCTGTAAACCCAAAGTAGAAATAAATATTGTGGGTGGTTTGAACACAGGGATATTTTCTATGCATGGACTTTTTTGACAGGACCAGATATTGAGGACCATTTGTCATGGACCAGTATGCTTATGGTCAATATGGAGAGGAGCAAGTGTTCTGCAAGGCTAGGTCTAGGCGGAAGGTCACTACAGGAGACCTGCAAATTGGCAGACCTTTGCTGCTCACATGAAGTTAAGGATGACAGCATTGTTTTTTCTCTGGAGAAATTTTCTGAAGTTTGAAGCTATGTGAGGCTTAAGTCTAAATAGAAAAGTATCATGATTTATCTGTATCTCTTCATCAATGTGGTTATTAAGAAAAACTAGTTTTTATGCACCACAATGTTCATAGCAGCACAATTTACAATAGCTAAGTGCTGGAAGAAACCTAGGTGCCCATCAGTAAATGAATGGATCAAAAAACTGTGGTCCATTTACACAATGGAATTCTATGCAGCAGAAAGAAAGAGGGAGCTCCTACCCTTTGTGACAGCATGGATGGAACTGGAAAGCATTATGCTAAGTGCAATAAGCCAGGAAGTGAAAGACAAATACCATATGATCTCACCTTTAACAAGAACCTAAACAACAAAACAAAGAGCCAAGCAAAATTTAGTCAAAGACACTGAAGTAAAGGACAGACTGACAGTTACCAGAGGGGAGACAACAAGGAATTTAAGGAGAGAATGGGAAGGGTTAACAGGAACAAAGATAAAGGACACAAGGACAAAAACTAGAGGGGGATGGAAATGGAAGGGAGGTGGGGAGGGATGGGTGGGAGGGCTGGGATGGGAGTAAAGGGCCGAAAACTGTACTTGAACAATGATTTAAAAAATGAAAAAAAAAAAAAAAACACAACTGAATATAAAAACCTAAAAAAATACCAAAACTAGGTTTTTCCATCTTTCCCTTTCATTCCTCATTATTTTAATATGTTTGTGTCTTCTGAACTGTGATAGACACCATGGATTCAAATAAGAGGGTAGATGGACACTTTAAGGAAAAAAATGGACTAAAAGAGGAATAAAAATGACTGGGTTCCTACCACCTTAATGGATGTGTAAGAGTGGCAAGAGAGACAGCCAAAAAATAAATAATAAATTAGGTTTCACTAATTAAGTATTTAATAAAGTAAATACTTAAGTATGCAATTAAGTATTTAGTTGCAATATTAAAACACGCTGCAAAGAAAATAGAAAAATGCAACGAGAAAATTATAGGATGATCTAATTTAGTCTGGGCATTCAGAGAGGGTATGCTGAAGAAATAACACTTAAGCTGAGCCCTAAAGGGTAGGGACAAGTATTTCACTCAGCGTGAGAAACACACGTAAAGATTCTGATGCAGCTTTATAAGACTGTTCGTATTTTTGAATGTTGTGGACAAAGAGAGTAAGAAAGACAACAGTTGTGAGGTGTCATGGAATGAGACTGGTAAGACTGGATGACCCTTGAACCTTTGTTTTTTTTAATTCTAGATTTTATCCTAAGAACAATAGGAAGACTTTGAAGGATCCTAGTGTAGCAGTGAAATAATCAGACCTCCACCCTTAATAATATCAGTGTGTCTCTATGTGGAAAGTGGAATGAAGGATAATGGTGTTGGGAGGTATGAGAGGTAAATTAGGAAGTCATTTCAATTTTACTTTAAGGCAGAAGATATAGGCTTGGAATAGATAACTGGACTTAGAGATGTAGAAAATCAGAAAAAGAAATATGAAAAAAATAAAATTATAAAATAACAGTATTTGATTATTGATTGCAGTGAATGGGGAACAGGATGGTATCAAGGATGCCTCTTTCTAGGTTTTGGGCTTGAAAACCACATGGATGATGGTTCCCTTCTTATGATAGGGAGCATTAGGGGAAGAACAACTTTAGTGTAAGGCAGGAACTGAAGTCTACAACTGATGCCTTCTATGAAAGACATGGACTGAAAATGTACATTTAGAAGTTGTAAGAGATAGTAGGAACTGCCTTTTACATTTTGAAAGAGTACTAACAAAATTTTTGTTTACTCCCTGAAGTTCTTAAATCATCCTATCATAACCTTACTTGTTAGAATAATAAAATGCATTCACATTGTTATGAAAACATTGTAGTTTTTCATTAAAATTTTGTTTTTATAAGTATCTATTATTATTTTTGTGTTGTTCATTTAACTGAGTTTGGAAAATCCTGGGAATCATTAATCTTTCCGTGTTGTTTTGTTTATCAGTTAGGAAGGGGATTGTAATCAAACTGAAGGTACATAAATACTTCTAATGACTCTACTTATGAGTTATGGTCTGCTCTATAGGTGCTTCAGAGAGCAGCAGTATTACATTCCATATAAGAAAACTACTTATGCTAAATGAAGCAGAGCACTCGATTACAGTTAAGCATATGACTATTTCCAATTTGTACCAAAACCTTTACACTAAAGTGTGGTTCTAAAATGTGAAGCTTTACTTATTTTATCTTTCTTTAATGAATCTGCTCAGAACAAAAGTATAAAATCTTTTATTTAAAACTGATCATTTGAGAATTGGTTCATTTATTTTCATTTTACTAGTAGTAAGCATTAGAGGAAAAGATATATTTTCCAGACTGGTACAGGTGGAATTATCTCACTTTCTGAAAAATAATCACAAAATATTATACATATGCTACATTTTAATAAGTTGAGTGATGTTGGGTGAAAATATTTGTCATGCTAGTTTTCTGTCCAAGTTCTGGAACAGGAAGCAAAGGACAAGTATAGAGTTTACTTAAAATATTCATTTAAAATATAGCTAGTTTTTATAGTTCCAATTCCTGAAAGGTTGAATTTTTTAATTTGTTTTCCATTTATTTTCCAAACTACAATGTATGATATTATGCATTATTTTTCTTTTTGAAATAAGTATTCAATTAGCCAATAGAAAATACAGAGATCTTCATTGTTTTTATTTGGGAACTTTATTTTTTATATATTTTAGCTTTTGAATAGTAAGGTAACAGTGAGAGGTCCAACAGGAAAGAGATGACACCCCCAAATTAGGGCAACTCAAGCAAGGTTGACTAAAGTGGCCATTTAAAAGGACAGCAGGGTTTAGGGAATCCCCAGGTATAATGCAGTACCTCTGGGTTCCACCCCAGCCAGGCCCAAAGCAAAATGGATAGGAAGGACAGAGACTTGTATGGAGAACCTCTTTGTCTAGGGACCAAGTCATCCTGAAGGAACTCTTCAGGGATGGAGTTTGGGGGATGAAGATCTTGATGTCACTTTCCTTCCTCACTGTGGAGGGTTCCATTGGCAGAACCCAATGAGAAGGCAAGAGAGCCTATTGATATAGTCCATTTAGGTCAGCCCATTCAGGGCAAACAGAAGGGTGAGAAATGTAGAGAGTGGATCTTCCGGGGGCAAAAAGAATAATCTAAGACAATGAGAGTGTACCACAGAATGACAAAAGAGAAGTGGGAAAGGTGGTGGTATGACTTTTTTTTCAGGATTCAGGGACAGAGGGTTTGGGTCATAACTGCCTACTCCTTGTGAAGTGCAAGAAGCTTTGGAACTGGTTGGCAAGGGGCAGGTTTTGGAGAACTGGGAGGAGTAGCGATTCTATAGTTAAAGCAGGCTGTACTCTGTTAACTGACCAAAGATTCTTAGTTTAATTCATGCACAGAAAAGAAAAGTTCACCTCGAACCTAGAGAATGTTCTCTGTAGCTAACAATAATGATGCTTTGATGATATCATTGCTTTTTGCTTGCAGGATCACACCTCACAGACAACGTTGTTTGGCCTTGGGCATGAGTTTTGTGATTTTGAGAGTATTTGGTATGTACTCTTAGTAATCTTTTATTATATCAAAATGTTACTATTTTGATATGTGAATATGTACGTTTTACATGTATATTTATGTAAAAATATATATGTTTACATGTATATTTATAATTTCAAATAAATAATGAAGGTAAACAGCAATAAACCAAGTGAAGGAGGAGCTGCTTTGCAGAATTTAGGAGGTAATACTTAATGTAAAAAGATAATAACTAATGTAAACCCTATTCTGCCATATAAAATATGCATTAATATTGTATTCAATTGGGAGAGATAATCCATTTGATCACAAGTATGTTCACTAAGCTCACACAAGTGGTTTGGTAGCTGAAATAAACACTTATATGAGCTTAACAACTACACATTGCTTTGTATTTGGGAAGTCAGTAACCTAAACTACTGCTTTTAAACATTTCATTACCAAAGTGACTGAATCTGATAATTTTAAGGATTTCCACCAAAAGAAAGAATTAGTTTTGCTGAGGGTAATGTACTCTGTATTCCATGCTTTCTTAAAATAGCAAAAACTAGCTTTCAAATCCACATTAGGACTATATTAGGGCCCCTGATTCAAGGAGCTGATTGAACATATTGGTGGGGTAAGAAAACAAGATTGGCCTGGATTGAAGACTGACACATGATAAATGCAGTCAAGAATGCAGACATAATTTTAGTGTGGCTCTGATGTGAACCAGAGAAACCATTCCAGACCTACATCAGTAGGGGGTTTAAATTAGCTTTAATAGGGAAAAAAAAGAGGATATTTTTATGGTGCACAATGATCCACTAGAGAAGGACAGGCTTGTAATGGAAGAGAGAACATAAGAAAACTGCATAGACAGTTTCCTGCATCAGAAACAAACCCATTGAAAGTGATGCATTTTTTAATGAAAGTGGGTAGAATAAGATGATATTTTAGATACAGACTCTCTGGACAGGGCTTTGCTATCAGAGAATTTTAAGCAGAGGATAGATATTATCTGATTTACATTTAAAAGATAACTCTGCTACTGGAGGGAGAAATAGTTAATAGAATATAATGTGGAGAATATGAAAAAAGGAGGCTTTTACTGAAATATGTCCTAGTCACATTAAATTGGTGTCTGGGGCTTGTCATAGAGACAGAGAGAAACCAGCATATCCAATCTATGTTTGCAGTTAGTGTTACAAAAATTTATCATGGATTGGGAATGCATAGTAGGCCGAGGGTTTTTTACCTTGAACAATTACAAACAGAGTGCCAGCCCTCATTGAAACAAGATTTCTGGTGTTAGATAGTGGTCTTTGGCAGGAATGAAATCATGAGGCATGAGGGCCCTCATAATTTATTAAAGAAGATGGTCAGTCATTAGACATGTTAGTTTTCAGAACCTGGTCCTGGTGTCTTCGGGGTGGCTTTATAAAAATGACTCAATTCACCTTTACCTGCAAGTGACACTGTTGCCGAGCAGACGCGGCCTCCGAGGGTAGTAGAGGCTTCATGCAGGCAGCAGCGCTCAGCTGTTCTGCGAATGTGGACTGGCAGTCATCTGAACCCAGGGCCGCTATTAACACACCAAAGTTTAAGTTATTCTCCTCAATATTTTGATAAATAACAGATACACATTTGATTATAAAATTAATTTTTCAGTTACTGAAAATTCCAAATTTGAAATTTTTGGAACAACACTGAGTACTGAAAATCAGTATTTAGTATCTCTGTTGGAAATACTTTGTCCTAAATTTTTCATTCAAAACTTAGCAGTTTTGAGATGTCAAGTAAAAACATACACACCTTTGTGAAAAGATGCAAATCTACCAATTTTTTATACTTATAGGGATAAACTTTTTCAAAATCATATTGTTTCTAGTTATTATAATCCTATTTGTAAGTAAATTGTTACATAATTTTCAATGATATGTTTGATAGTGATGATGTCTAAATATATATGTAGAAGTTTAATTTTAGGATAAAAATTATTATGATCCCAACCTATAGTGTTTTCATGAAGAATTGACAATCTCTGCATTTTTTCATAGGGAGTATACCTGGACCAATAGTGTTTAAAATGGTAGGAGCAAGTTCTTGTACCTTTTGGGACAGTGGGCACTGTGGAAACAGAGAACACTGTTGGATCTATAACAAGGCAAAAATGGCCTACCTGTTTTTTGGAACATGTAAGTCATATCTACTGAAGAATTGTAGAGAGGTAAAATTATTTTCAAAATTATGATTGTTCATAGCAAATGGATACTTTGATGATTAAAGAAGCCTTATATTACTACATAACAATATTTTAGAAACTAAAGTACTATAGAATATATGTAAATATTTGAGTCATTGTATTAGATATACAGTTGTTTTATATTATTCCTGAATAAAGGGTGATAATTTCTAGATTTTCAATTTGGGAAGTAGTTTTGCCTATATACATATTCAGCCAAGTTGTTTGGCCCTGCGACCCTTTCCATTTCTACCATGAAAGATTGGATGATTTAAAAAAAGGTTTTCGCACCACTAAAGAGCATCAACATACTCTTACCCTACTTAAATATAAGTTTCATATTGTCTCTTATGCTCAATGATGTAACAGTGCTTGGCACACAGCAAGCATTCATTGAAGAAGTGAGAGGTAGAGGACTTGACATGCCGTGGGGGGTGTGAGCTACAGCCAAAGTGCTGGGATAGTCTAGATACGTTTGTATGAGTTTGGATAATTCAGTAGATCTTCCTGCATCTTTATTCATCTGTAAAAGGAGGATTTGGCGCTATATAATTTTGAAGTCTTAATCATTACTAACATTGAATGATGTTATTGTATAGATGCTATTGGTGTGATAAATATTTTAAAGTGATTATATGTTTTGTGATTTTACTAACTGGGTTCAGTAATTCAAAGAACCACATAATGTTAGACTCTAATGTTTAACAATAACAATTACCTGTTTGATAAAAAATATAGAGCAATGCCTTCTAATTCAGAAATTAATTACCTGGAAACTTAGTCAACACTTAACCTGAAAAGTAAAATTTAAGAAAAAATTAAAAAGTCAAAAATGACATTTAAGAAATCAAAATAAATTTCTCAGAGGCAATTCAACAAAACTAGGCATTGTTCCTAAGGACATCTGCTTAAAATACTGCTGAGCCTTTCAATTTTTATGCTAACCTACCTTTAAACAGAGTTCATAATTGAGAATGATGATAAACTACTCAGTCCTTTTAAGGAGCTACTGAAAGGAGATCACAATAATAAAAACATGGGAAATTACAGTAAGAGAAGGCAAATACAGGAAACTGTGATAGGAATATGCATTTGTGGCAATTTTGTGTAAACCAGTACATTTTAAAGTATATTTCATAAGTCACTTGAATCAGAAAAACTTGGAGTGCTTGCTAAAAATATAAGTACTGGGGCCCTGAATTAGGATCCCAGGGATTAGAGGTAGGCATGCATATTTTTAATAAAGCACTTCAGGTGACTATCTAGAGTACCAGAAATTCTAGAGCTATTCTGTCAACACAGTGCATATTAACCATGTATAGCTATTCAAATAGAAATGAAATAAAATTAAATACAATTAGAAATTCAGTTTCACATCAGCAACAGCTGAATTCGACCTGTTTGATGGTCATGTTGGACTGCTCTGTTGGACAGAGCAGGTGAAGAGCAGTCATTGCAGTGAGATGTACTCAGTGTGTGACTACGGCCACGATGGAGCAAGTCTCATCCAAAAGGGATCCGTGGACCCTAGAAGCCCATACTAAGCTTTAGTATATCTTCGAAACCCTAAAATTCTTTTCATTCAGTTTATGTCCAAGAAGTTTTTTTCCTGTGGAGGGAGGTGGTAGCATTCACCATTCTTAGAAATTTTATCACTCAAAAAAGTTGGTAAGAAATTTATCATATCAATCCTTCAGTTCTCTGTGGTAGCAAGAAAATTCTTCTGATCTTTCTCTTAATTTTCATTGGAATGACTCACTACATATGTACATTACATACATACTTTTACCTTAAATGAAGGGTTCTATCACTAAATTGCACTAGAGAGATGACTTATAAGTCTTTTGCAAACATTTCCTATGTTAACTTGCTATGTTTACCACTTCATTAGGCTTGTTTTATATTATCTCTGTAGAATCTTTATTGAATTATATATATTTTCAGAAAAGGACACACAAAATATAATTCAACACATTTTTATAAAGTGAATATACCTGTAATTAGTATTAATATCAAGAAATACATATATTGGAATTAAGAAGTGAATTTAGTATGCTCATTAAACATAGAATCAATATACACAAATCAATTGTGTTTCTATATACCAGGTACAAACAAATAAAAAAAATACAATAACTAAAATAACATAAAAAATGAAGAACCAAGAAAAATATCCATTGAAAGTGGTATAAAAACTGTATACTAAAGACCACAAATTTCACTTAAGAGATGTTAAAATGTAAATACAGTGGTACCTTAGTACTTGTCAACTTCAGTACTCTTCAAACCTGGTACTTGTCTCATTGATGAGAAAAAAAGATTTCAGCACTCAGTGCTTGCACACCACGCTTCGCACATATTAGAACTTGTATGAGTTACAACGCCACCCCACAAGAGAAAATGCTTCATCAGCTGTCGCTTGCTCACCTCTCATTGGAGCAAATTAATGGTGAGTACTGAGGCACCACTGTAAATGAAAAAATGCATATGCTTCCAGATATAAAGACTTGAAAATGCCACTTCTCCTAAATTAATTTATAGCATCAAGAGATCACAAACAAAATCCCACAAGGTATTTATTTTTTTTTTAAATTGACAAGGGAATTGAAATTCACTTGAAGGTCAAAGGGCCAAGAGAATCTTGAAGATGAAACAAAATTGAAGGATATATTCTACAGATACCCAAACCTATTATCAAGCTATCAACACAGTAGGATAGTGAGTGATACAAATGTCATCACACTGACCAATGGAACAGAGCAGGGGTGTCAAACTCATTTTCACCAAGGGCCACATCAGCTTTGAGGTTGCCTTTGAGGGGCTGAATGTAATTTTAGGACTGTGTAAATGTAACTACTCCTTAAATAGGGGCAAGGAGCTTGGTGCTGCCTCTGGGTAGAAACAAGGTGCCAGGCCAGATAAAACAAGGTGGAGGGCTGGATTTGGCCTGCGGGCCTTGTGTTTCCACCTTCGGAACAGAGGACCCAGAAACAAACCCACACCTGCACACTCAACTGAGTTATGGTGAAGGAAGACAATGAAATGTTAAAAAGATGGTCTTCAAACAGGGTAATGGCTCATTTTATATATGCATATCTAAAAACATATCTTGATCCCTACCTCAAATCATATGTACAAAAAGCAATTCTAAATGCATAGCAGATGTAAATGTAAAAGATAAAACAATCAGTACTTTTGAGAAAAACAGGAGAGTATCTTCATGGCCTTGGAGTAGGAAGAAATTTCATAAACAGGATACCAAAAGCAGTAGCTACAAAAATCAAGCTATATGAAAACTAATAAATTCTGATCATCAAAAGAAGTAATTAAGAGAGAGAAAAGAGAGCTGCAGTGTAGAAGACAGTGAAAAAGGTGAAAAAGAACAAATGTCCAAAATATATAAAGTACTCTCACAAATAAACACTAAGCAAAGGAGTAATAACTTAATAGAAAAGTGGACAAAAGACTTGAAAGAAATTCACAAAAGTAGATAATCAAATAGCCAGTAAACAATAAAGTGGATAATAATTTTGATAAAGGCAACAATAGAATACTATACAACAATGAAAAGGGAAAGTGCCCAAATACATAAAATATAGATAATTCACACAAACATAATGTTGAAAGAAATAAACCAGTCATAAATCCGTTTGCAGTGTATGATTCCACTTACATAATTTTGACCTGCCATCAAACATTTCTAAAGCAAAGCAAACCAAACTAACCCTTTTGGGTTAGTGAATTTGATTAAACGTGAAGAGGGATTCTCTGTTGTAGACAATGTTTTGTTCTTGATTCAGATGCTGGTTACACTCTGTTTCATTGAACAGATAAAAAAAGCAGTGGTACATTTACACAGTGGAATACTATGTGGCCATGAAACAGAAAAAATATCTTACCTTTTGCAACAACATAGATGGACTTGGAGATTATTATGCTAAGTGAAATTAGCCAGTTAGTTTGATTCTCACTTATGTGTGTAATCTAATACCACACATATAAATCATATACCATATGATCTTCACTTATGTGTGTTATCTAATGGACAAAATAAACTGATGAATAAAATAGAAACAGGCATGGATACATGGAACAGACTGACAGCTGTCTGAGCAGAGGGGGAAGGTGGAACTGGATGAAATAAGGTGAAGGGATTAGCCAAAGCACATATATACATGACACATAGACACAGACAACAGTGGGGTAATGGCTAGAAAGAAGTGGGAAGGAGAAGGTTGGAGGTAGGCAAAGAAGTAGTGGATGGGACATCTGTATTAGTGTCAACAATAAAAACGAATGGAAAAAGTAAAAGAATATTAATGATAAAAATGTATCAAGCAACAATCTAAAATAACTGATTTTTTTTGTAATTAATATATAGTTACATAGTATAGATCTTAGGTGTTTGGTTTGATGGCTTTTGGTAATTGACTGCACCTGTGGAACCACCACCCAAAACAAGGTATAGAAATTCCCCCTGCGCCCCTTCCCAGAACATCCCCCTCCTCCACAGATAAACATCGTTCAGATTTCTACTACAATATGTTGGTTTTACCTATCCTAGAAATGTATGCAAATGTAATACAGCATATACTGATTTTTTGTTTATTCGTTTGTGTCTGTCTTGCTTAATGGTATGCTTTTGGAAAATTCATCCATGATATTTTATAGCAGTAGTTTGAGCTTTTAACTTTTTTTGTGAATGTACTACAGTTTCTCTATTTTCATTCATGTACATTTGGATTGTTTATAGTGTTTGGCTCTTATAATGAAATGTACAAAATACTGTGTCATTATAAATGATATAGGCTTGTTAATTTTTTCTTTTATCTTTTGAAATCACTGCAATTTATATTATCAGATAATTGATATTGTTGATCTGTAATATTTTTTACTTTAATCAATAGGGTTATTTGAACCCAAAGCTCAAGTACTTTTAAGTAATACTTGTACTATATTAATTTTCTGAAACTTGAAACATAAAAATCAATTTAAACCCTCCTATAATCAATTAATATTTCTAAAACATTTGTTTGTATTTGGAGAATGATGAATATTTCAAGAAGAGTAAGGCTGCATGAAGTGACTTAAACAGATTCCAGTTCCTATTGATAATTAAGTTTTGAAGGTAGAAATAATTTTTTTTTGTTTTTGACTTAACACATTCTGTGAAATAGCAACGCACCTTGCATTTTTCTTGGGCTACACATTTAAGAAATCTGAAAGTTTTTGTGACTATTTTAAAAGTCTCCTTTAGGTAACCTGATATGTTTATGACTTTAATTACATTGTACAATAAGAAAATTGGTACCTTTAGAGACAAAGTACACTTATTTTTTCTTTGGCAGCTAACATTCTTTCCACAAATATTTTTGCTTTAAATAAATTGACGCATCTGATGGTGGTTGTTTTTTTTTTATTTAGGTTTTTTTTGCAAAGTATGCACTATCTTGTCCACTGCTACTGCATTTGGCCTTCACAAATATTCACTAAAGGAAAAAAATGAATTCCTGTCTATGCCTGTAAAAATTCTAAAATTAAAAAAAAAGAGAGAGACGGAAGAAACTGATTTATAACCGGATCATCAATGCGTAAGAATTACATGTTGTCAGTCCTTCAGTGGAATATTATACTAATAAATTCTAAAATAATTATATAATGGAATGTTTAATAAATGAATATGTTCCATATGATCCCATAAGTTTTCATATATTTTAGTATAAATATAGAAATATAGTCTTTGTGTTTTCAATTTTTTACAGATTCTAATATATATATTTTGTACTTTCAATAAAAGAATAATACTTGGAAGAAAAGGATGAAGTGGATATGGGAAAACACACACAAGTGACTGAATGCAGTACTGTCTCACAGACTAGTCATTGGACTTTGACTAAATAATGTTACTTGGGTTTCATATGTTTTCTTTGTGGTACTTTTTATGTGCATTGAGGATGTTTATTTCTCAATAATTTTTCAAAATTAAATTTGCCAATTCAGTTCATATAATAAAAATTTAAATTAAGGTCATATTTATTCTCCAAAAGAAAACCTATTTTAAACCCTTAAAAATGAACATTTTATTTTTCTTTTATTTGATGATAGAGATTTCCTTAGAAAATGTCTCTTGTCAGTTGGCCAGTTTGTAATCATATTTTGCATAGTCTTTTAATTTTAGTAGACATAAAATTCAGCATGATATTGTAACCTTTCTATTTTTACCTTGACTTGAATTTTATTGATAAAACCTACCTGATACCTGAATTAATATCCACTTTTGTGCATTTAAATGTCATTTTATGATTAATAATAATTATTCCATGTGAAGAAATTTTCAAATTTGTGTGTAGAAGAAGTGTCAACCCTTTGTGGAATTTTTCTTAAGCTTTAACATGTCAATACAAAGTTTTTTTGTTTTTTTTAAAGATGTTTATTTATTTATTTATTTTTAGAGAGGGAAGGGAGGGAGATAGAGAGAGAGAGAGAAACATCAATGTGTGGTTGCTGGGAGTTATGGCCTGCAACCCAGGGATGTGCCCTGACTGGGAATCGAACCTGCGATACTTTGGTTCACAGCCCACGCTCAATCCACTGAGCTATGCCAGCCAGGGCCAAAGTTTTTCTTTTAATTACTTCATATATATTTATGCTCCCATCCAAATTATATAGAAAATTTGCAAATATTAGAATGAAAATCAGGTTATTATAAAACAAAAACTTCTTTATCAACAATAGCTTTTAGTCTCTTGAGAGAAGGAACAACTGACAAAGTTTGTCCTTTGTTACTCACTGTAGCCAATGACTGTGTGTGTAAGGGTACTCCCTGCCCCATTCAGGGCCCTGTCTAGCAGAAAGAAATGTGAAGCAGCGAGTATTTATATGATACTATATATTTTTCTTCCTTAACTTAAATATGCATTTATGAACATCTATAAACTAGTTTTTTGGGTGGAAACTACTTAACTGCTTGACTCTTCTCTGTTTGAACGAGCAGGAGTGCAGAATGTCTACGGAGCTGCATGTGAAAACAGGAGTTTCTTCTTCAAAGCTTCTACCAGATGTGATGCTGTGCCCTGCATTTAGAAAGGGAAATCCACAGGATCTTCACCTGTCTAGTAGAAATGTATCTATGGAGATCTTTCTTTTCATAATAAAGTATTTTTCTGTGAAACATTTCTAATTTGTTTTTAATGTATATAGGATTTTACATATCAGTTTACAATATGGCTCTTTCTAGGAAAATTAAGGTTTAATAGTTTTAGTTTACTTTTATCCTTCCTTAATATTCTACTGTGAAAAATATGTAAAATATATTTTAAAATTTATATAACCAGGAATAAAGTAAAACAACGACATTCAGATCCATTTTGAAGGTGCTTGTAATGTGTATGTATAAATATGTATTGTCTATATATGTATTTTTTTAGAAAACAAACTAGCAAAGACATACTTAAAATTATAACACTTTAGAGAGTAGCATTAAGTCTTTAAATTTGAATATAACTTTATCCTATGAAAGAACATATGACCGTTTATATGTCACAAACTACTTTATAGAGAATTAGTAAATGGAGAAATGATGTAAGTATAACCCAGATGTTGCACTGGTTGACACCAATTTAGTGGCTTTTGAAAAGATCAAGGGAAGTTTTCTCATTATTAAAGAGAATACCTTAGAAATATGTTGTCTTAAAAAAAAGATATAAAAATACTAGAAAAGTGCCTTTCTTTTGGTGTTAATTTTGAATGATTTGATGTTATCAAGAATCTGTGTGCTTTCTACAATGTTTGTGTATCCAGTGAAGCTGCAAGTGCCAATAAAAAAAGTTGAAAATATTTCTAAATAGCAAGACTTTTAATTTGTTTTGAAATATCTCCATTGAGAATTCATATCCTCGGGGACCTACATGCAAAAGATGAAAGGTGAGCCCCAGCATTTGAACCCACAATTAATTGACTCAGGTACTAGGTGAAAATACCAGTGGGCATTTATTTGTGCTAAAATTTATTAACACTCTGAGTCCTTTATAAATGTTCCTTGATAGCCCTTCCCCTAAAGCCTAAGGGGGTAGTTTGGAGCGTGAGAGGTGGGGATGGGTAGTGTAGGGGAGAGGGTATGTAGTTGTGGTAAAATGGGGACAGCTGTACTTGAACAACAATAAAAAATTATAAAATAAAAAAGAGATTTATTAAGACATTGTTTTCATTAGGACAGGTTACAAAGTTGCACAGGATTTTTAGTGGTTTACCTCTACAGTACTTTCTTTCTAAGTCTAGTTATTTCTGGTGCTTGATTTTGCCTAAAAGGACATTTTAAATTAATGCATACATAACATTATAGGAGAAATGCTAATGTTTTAGAATTGATGAGTTTATTTGTGCTCTTCAAATAGAGTTTTCTCCAAACTTGCAGAATAAATACTATGAAAATCCTGGTTCCTCAAGCTTTTCCTTTTCTGGATTCTTGTTTGTATTGGATTGAAGATTTCCTGCTTTAAATGAAGCATGTGCTCTTTCTTATATAGAATAATAAAGTATCAACTTTCTATTCTATATATACATTATATATATATAAATATGTGTATTTATATATAGATATAGTGTGTATACATAACTATATATAACTACATATACGTGTGTGTGTATATATATATATATACACACATATATATATACTTTTTAACCCATCACTTGCACACTTAGGTTGTTTCTGTGTCCTGCCCATGATAAAATAAAGATGTTATGAACATGGGAGTGAATATCTCTTTGACATGGTATGTTCATTTCTTTTGGACATATTGCTGGAGATGGAATTGCTGAATCACATGGTAGTTCTATTTTTAATTTTGAACAATTTCTATACTGTTTTCTGTTTTCATTACCAACTTACAATTCTACCAACAATACACAAGAGTTCCCTTTTTTCTACATCCTTTTCAGAATTTGTTATCTCTTGGCTTTTTGATCACAGCCATTCTAATTGATATGCAGTGACAAATCTCACTGTGGTTTTGATTTGCGCTTCCCTTATGACTTTATGTGTCTTATCTGGTTTTGGGATTAGGATGATGCTGGCTTCACAAAAAGAGTTTGGGAGTCATCCCTATTCTTGGATTTTTTGGAATAGTCTTTGGATATAGGTTAGTTCTTCCTTAAATGTTTTGTAAAGTTCTTTGAAACTGTCTGATCCAGGGATTTTGTGTGCTGGGAGTTCTGATTACTGCTTCAATTTCGCCAGCTGTTATCAGTCTGTTCAGGCTTTCTCATTCATCTTCATTCAGTTTTGGAAGATTATATTTTCCTAGAAATTTGTCCATTTAACCCAGGTGTTCAAATTTCTTGGCATATAGTTGTTCATAGGAATTTCTTATAATACTTTGAATTTCTGAGGTATCATTTGTAATCTGTCCTCTTTCATTTCTGATTTTGTTTATTTGGGTCCTCTCTCTTTTTTTCTTGATGATTCTGCTTAAAGGCTTGTCAATTTTGTTTATGTTTTAAATGAACTGTCTCCTGGATTTATTGATGCTTTGAATTGTTCTTTTAGTCTCTGTCATTTAATTCTGCTCTGATCTTGGTTATTTCCTTCCTTCTACCATCTCTGGGCTTTGTTTGTTGTTGATCCTCCAGTTCTTGTAGGTATAGGGTTAGGTTGTTTGTTTGAAATGTTTCTGCCTTTTTTTAGGTAGGCCTGTGCTGCTATGAACTTCCCTCTCAGTACTGCCTTTGCTGTGTACCATAAGTTTAGGACTGTTGTGTGTTCATTTTCATTTGTTTCCAGAAACTTTTTTTATTTCTTCCTTGATCTCATTCTTGACCCATTCATTGTTTAATAGCATGCTATTCAAACTCCATGAATTTGAGTGTTTTTGAGTTTTTTCCTTAAGGTTGGTTACTAGTTTTAGGCCCTTGTAGTATGAGAGGATGCTTGATATAATTTCAGTTTTCTTGAATTTGTTGAGGCTTGTTTTGTTTACTATCATGTGGTCTACCTTTGAATGATCTATGTGCATTTGAAAAGAATGTGTATTTTGCTTCTTTGGGATGGAAGGTTCTATATGTATCAGCTAAGTCCATTTGTTCTAGGGCACTGTTCAGTGTCACAATATCTTTGTTGATATCTTGTTTGGAAGATCTATCCACTGTTGACAGTGGAGTGTTAAAATCCCCTAGTGTAAGTGTGGTGCTGTCTATACCTTTCTTGAAGTCCTCCAAGATTTTCCTTATATATTTGGGTGCTCCTATGTTGGGTACATACATGTTTATGATGCTTATGTCTTCTTGATGGATTTTTCCCTTGAGTATTATGAATTGTCCTTCTGTCTCTTTTTATGACCTTTGTTTTGAAGTCTATTTGTCTGATATACATATTGCTACCCCATCTTTTTTTTCTCTCCATTTTCTTGGAATATTTTTTTTAACACTTCACTTTCAGTCTGTGTAGGTCTCATGTTCTGAGGTGGGTCTCTTGTAGGCAGCATATTTGCGAGAGTAATGTTTTCTTGTCCATTCAGCTATTCTATGTCTTTTGATTGGGGCATTTAATCCATTAACATTTAAGGTTATTATTGATAGG